TAAAAAAAATAGTGCCTTTTTTTAAATGTCCAAGGCCGTTATGTAAAGTGCCCTCTCATATTAAAATATCTTATTCAAATTCAAGGGGCCGCGGCAGAAGTCAGATCGATTGGGAAATGTCAATTTGGGGGAAAATCAGCCGAACAGTTTAGCCGCTAGCGTTGTTCACAGACAGACGGACAAACGTTTTGCCGTCAATCAATATTTTGTCATCAAGAACTCACAAAAGATGCATTATGACTACACCACGTGTTAGGAGTATTTTCCTCCTAAATTTAGCAACTAGAGTTTTCCGTACCAGGGAATAAGAGTTTTTCTGTCGAAAATCCTTCGCTTTTTCTTGCAGCATTACATAGCTTTGTCTCTGCGTAAGCAACGACTTTGGAACGAGCAGTGTCAAATACCCCTAAAACGAGGGTTCTGACTCAACAACGTGTTAAAGTGTGGAATTCACTACATACACATGATTTATACTCTTTTTCAATAAAAGAACTACACAATATTAGTTTTACCATAAAAATCGCCGTTTTCTGCTACAATATTACAATCATCTAGTATCATGCATTACCTAGTAATGTAGTTCCACTACAATGGGAAAAGGTGTTCTAGAAACATTTCTAGAATATGGTTTAAAATTAAATTAACTTAAAACTATTGCGATCGATATCTCTTTTATCCTTCTTAATTATGGATTATTACAAAATCCCTGCTGCAATCACCGAATTTATCGAAATTGCGGTGTATGTATATATCCCGAGTAACCTCCTTCTGTTGCTTTATTTTCTTATACGCCTGGATTATCTATAAGCCCTCTTGTGTCAAATAAAGTGGCAGGCAGTGAATTATCGCTGTTCGTTTCAGGAAACGATTCTTTAAAATGGAAGCCGGAAGATGGTGGGTATTACATGCATATAATTTCTTCAATCGGTGAATGGATGCTCGTATTGCTGCACAGTTTGTACATGGGAACCTTCACATCAGACTTTCACTCAGTCACATTGCAACGTCCGTTCTTACGAGTAAGTATTTTTTTCTCTTTCTCTTTCTCGATTAAATTCGCCTTCTTCTGCTTCTTCATATTATTATATTACAATATAATATAAATATATTTTATATTCCTGTTATTATTATTACATGACTTGCACGTGCATAAACATTTCTTTGTTTTGGTTTTTAACGCTCTATTTTTTATCTTCATCTTTGTTCTTTATCTTATCTTTTCTCTTCAAGCTTTTTGTTTTTTGTTTCTGGGTCTCTTCAAGTTCCATTTATATTAAAAAGAAACATTATAACTATGCAAAATATCAGCTAATGAAAATTCAAACTCGAGGAGTACCTGATACTGGAAGAGAATTTTTTATTTTTCTTTACGAACCAGTCCGTGCGATGTACATCCGTGAAAAAAACTCTTATCTCCTATTATCATCCATTGCAATGAAATTAAAATTTCAAAATACTTTAAATACACCCATTTTGTGTGTATCTAATTTACTCACGTTTGATGCTTCCAGAACCCTATTATTTCGAAGAGGTGTATTTAAAGCACTTAATTGTTTGATTTCCCTAAAACCCGTTTACTTATGTAATGTATTGAGGCGGAAATAAACATGCTTCTTCAGAAATAATGTTTATTACACTGAGAATTGGTCATTATATGAATATTTGGTCATTATATTTATGCAACTTAAACATTTGGTTAATATATTATTTGCTCTATGTTTATCACTTCCTTAATATTTTGGTTTATATTGTGAAAATTGTAACCCATATGTATTGCAATATGTATTGTACAGATTTTTCACCGAGCTGTGGATATTAAACACTTTTCCAATGGTAAACAGCACAAAGTTCCTTTCATAACCCATGCGCACATTTTGTTGGGCTCTCCTTTTCTAGTAGTGGTAGAAGTAGTCGGAGGGGGGGCAGTTAGTATTTTGTTAATAATTCAAAAAAATCAAATCAGTAGATCGTTTTCCGATACAAATACGTTTTCTGTAACTCGGGAGCGAAAATGTTTGGTTTCCAAATGTTGCTAATCTGACTTTTTGAAACTTTTATTCGTCGTGATATAAAAGAAGTCATCTCAGTCAACTAAATATAATATTTATTGAGAGAGCCAGCTTTCGACAGCTTTGCCGTCATCATCAGTCTACAAATGTAAACAAAATAAAATATAAATATAATACCAACTAAATACACAAATAAGACAAAGAGGGGGATAAATATAAATAATATATACATTTAAAATTATAATAGTTGCAGAGCACTAGCAATTCAAATTACACAACATTAAATACAAATAAATAAAATACATATAATGAAATAGCAAAAGATACAAAAAATACCGCATCAGAATTCCAACAATTTCATTAATCATTCAACAATTCAGTTAAAATGTGAAGAGATTCTGGATCTCAAGAAAACGTGCACAGTTGTCACATCTCTCTCATATTTCACACAGTTTCACTGTTCTTTGACTAAATGAATCAAATCAAATGAAACCTTCGTTTTTTCTCCGCAGTTGGTGGGTTCTCCCGATGTAAGTAGCATGGGTTCATCGGACTTAACGATTCACTCCAGCTCGGGGCCAGGTAAGATAGTGTGAAAGGGCTTGCACAGAGCATCAACGCCGGGCACCTCGAATCTTCGTAATTCGACGAAGATAAAGACATCTACAGCAACACCATTTTTTCATGTATCACCCTGATGTGTATTTTATAATAAATTATAATTATTTATATAATAGGCTGGTGTGAAGGCTATGAAACAATTATTCAGTTATATCTATCCCATTGTGGAATTTTTTTTCAGGTGTGGTACAAATCGTCATTACATGTTATTGCCATATCAAATTTGATTTTTATTGTTAATTTTTAACGAGTGAAGACTGTCTAGCTATTGGAAAAATAAACAGCACAAACTAGAACGGCGCAATGCTTCAACAGGACATATATTATCGCATTATTTTTTCGTAATTTTCGAAATTTCAGAAACTTCCAAGAAAATTAGAACTTTCCATTCCCTTTAAATCGTACTTTGCTCTACTCGAGAAAAATTATAAAACATTGTCGAGAAAACAGTATAAATTCAATTCAAGCAAACATTATACAAAAACTACTTGGTTTCCAAATATTGTATAAGACCTTATTTAGTATTTTATTAAGGATATTTTTTTCATTAATATTTTTCTGTAATGTTATTTCTGACCCCCCATCCCCACCCCACAATTTTCCCAAATGCAGAGAATTGAATGAAAATCGCACCTGCCGAATTGTCATAACCGTAATACTATTCTTTCATTGTAGAAAAAAATTAAGAAGAAATTAGCATAGGTTTTGATAAAATAATTCTTTCGAGAATATGCATTGTTTGAGAATCTAATGAATGCTATAGAAGAATCCGTCTAAGAATGAGCGAAAATACTGCTAAACAAGTGAGTCAAATGGATTGTGGAAGACAACCACAGAACCTTCAGTTACGTTGCCAGCACTATCTGTCAAAACGATCCATTCTTAAAAAAATCGCTCTATAGAAGAATCCGCCTAAGAATAAGCCAAAATGACAGTTTGCTAAACAAGTGAACATCACATGAAATTCAGAGAAGTATCCCTCCGCGGCGACAGCTGTCCACCCACGCCTCTTCGTAAAGTTTATTTTTGTACATGGTTCCCGTTACGACATCATGGCTTCTCGTGGTTCACAAACGTGTAATTATACATAAAAAAATTGATAAAACGTAAACCACGGAACCTTTTCGATAATAGCTCGCCAATTTACCTCATAGGAACAGGAAACTTGCCCCAACACGCGTCTGACATTCAAGACTCGGTTTTCAAATAAACATAATACTTATCTCACAAAAAGTAAATTCTACGTATTTTTTTTTATAAAACAAAGAATATTTACAGAAGCACTGCACTTCCTTATTTCAATTATTTCTCATGGCGAATTACATCGACGGTCGAGGACATCACAAAAAGAAGTGTCGAAGTCATTTCCAAATTAGCCAACTGCAAACGAACGCATGAAGGAAGGAGAGTCTAATGGGTTGAAGGTCATACAGAATCTTCAGACTTGTGGCCAGCCCTAGCTGTCAAAACGGCCCATTCTTATAAAAATTGCTCTACACTTGTGAGCTCGTTGTCCCTTGTGTACGGGCTTTCCGTCGGTTCAGATCGGCTGCACTAGCCCTGCCGACGCTCCTCCACCCGCTAGTCCAGGGCAACAATACATTCGGTTGCGCATTGTTGTCGAGGCACGGCTCTAACGTTTCCCCGGAAACAGCTGACTTCGCTCCTCCTCGACTAGCACCGTCGGCTCTGTGCTGGGAGTACTCAGGAACCCCAACCGACGCCATTTTCCGAAGCGTTATCTTTTTTACATTTTTTTGTTGCTTCTTTTGAACCCGGGACAATGCGCGAGTGTATCTCTGTGCACGTGGGCCAAGGCGGATGCCAGATCGGCAACGCTTGCTGGGAGTTGTATTGCCTGGAGCACGGCATCCAGCCCGACGGGCAAATGCCGTCCGACAAATGCCTGGGAGGCGGCGACGACTCCTTCAACACCTTCTTCAGCGAGACGGGGGCAGGCAAGCACGTGCCCGCATGTTCGATACTGGACCGACCGTCGTGACGAAGTGCGCACAGGCACGTACCCTGCCTCTTCCACCCGGAGCAGCTCATCACTGGGAAGGAAGACGCGGCCAACAACTACCCCGCGGCCACTACACCATCGCAAGGAGATCGTGGACTTGGTGCTGGACGCATCCGCAAACTCGCTGACCAGTGCACGGGCCTCCAGGGATTCCTCATCTTCCATTCTTCGGCGGAGGCACCGCTCCGGGTTTGCTTCTTTGCTCATGGAACGGCTGTCTGTGGACTACGCAAGAAGAGCAAGCTCGAATTTGTATTTATCCAGCCCTCAGATACTCTACTGTTGTTGAGCCGTAATATGCAGTTCTTACTACGCACACGACTTTGGAACACTCAGACTGCGCCTTCATGGTAGATAACGAGGCCATCACGCACATCTGTCGCCGTAACTGGATATTGAACGCCCCACGTATTACCAAACCTGAATCGCTTAAATTGCCCAGATATGTTTCCTCTATTACTGGCTCGCTTCGTTTTGAGAGGCCTCTCAATGTAGACCTGACTGAATTCAAACCAATTTGGCCTCCTCGAATTCACGTTCCTTTGGCCAACATACGCCCCGGTCATATCCGCCGAGAAAGCTTACCACGAGCAGCTGTCAGTTGCGGAGATTCACCAACGCCTGCTTCGAGCCTGCCAACCAGATGGGAATGTGATCCCCGCCACGGCAAATACATGCCTGCTGACATGCATGTACCGCGGCGATGTGGTCCGAAGCGACGTGAACGCCTCCATCGCCACATCCAAGATCGAAGCGCACATCCAGTTTCGTGACTGGCCCAACCGGCTTCAAGTGGGCATCAACTACCAACCCCCTACGTCGTGCCCGGCGGCATCTGGCGCAAGGTGCAGCGAGCCTGTGCATGCTGTCAAACACGACAGCCACTCGCGGAGGGTGGCCGCCTCGACACAAGCTTCGACCTGATTACGCCAAGCAGTGCTTTCGTACATGGTTGTGGGAGAGGGCATGGAGGAAGGAGAGTTCTCCGAGGCCCGCGAGGATTTGGCAGCCCTGGAGAAGGACTATGAAGAAGTCGGCATGGATTCTGTGGAAGGAGAGGGTGAAGGAGCTGAAGAATACTGAACATATTCATTTTATTTTATTTCTTTTTATAATTGATATAATAATGTATACTCATTCCATTGTTTTTATGATGATTTATGGAGCAGATTGTTTGCTTATATACATAAAATCATTTTAGACAGTGTTTATGGATAATAATCTGAAATAAAAAAAATATATATAATTTATTCAGCTGTGAAATATCCAAATGATTTTCGTGACAGCAAACTCTATGTACTGAAAACCAGGGCAACTTTACTTCAATTTTTGAAAACTTTGTCATTTGTTGGGCCGACAGGACCAGGACGATGAATAATGACTTAATTGCACAGACACATTGAAGAACAGGATTTTCACACATTTTCAGCCTTGTCACTTTTTTTATGGTCTTTATCAGAGTATATTATGGACTTGAAGAACAGGAGTTTTTGGTAGTTTACAAAAGAGTCTCACCCTGCCCATTCAGAAAACGTAAATAAAAACTACTTTGCAGTATATCACTTTCTTTTAGATTTACGATTTGATTCAATTTTCCGTTGCATGAAGTCATAATAGTCATTGTTGGCAACACTACACCAGAAAACTTGGTGGCAATAGAGCAACTTTACCAATTTAAATTTTATTATTTTTCTCAAATTCTTATATTTTTCTTCTTTGTTCATGGTAGTTTACTTGTGTGAATGTTAAATCAAAAATGAAATAACTTTTCTTTCCAATTTTGATTACATTCTCAACTAAATATTAAAAATGAAATCTTAGCATTAATAATATTAATATATTACATACAAACACTGATTGGACATTGAGCGTTCTTGTAATAACAAAATTTATTTGTTGTAAAAGTCTTCATTAATGATTAAAAGTTAATTTAAATATTTAACAATAAGCATTTTTCATAATTTATTTTTAATAATAATTACATCTGCTAACTATTAATAAATAGGTGGTATATGTCTGTATATAATTGATTTCATAAGTTTTACAGGAAAAAAGCACAGAAACAAAATTCTACTAAAATAAAAAATTAATTAAAACATTTTAAAAGTTCAATTAACACTTAAAAAATCGTTTTTCCCCACTACATTTAATACCGACAAGTAAGATGTTTTTAGTTTACAAAATCATTTTTTGTAGTATTTTGGGGGGGGGGGGTAACATAGTTGGCAAAATTGCTGTTTCCAGGGTAATTTTTCCAAAGCTCTTCTTCATGTTTTTAGCGCAGAAAATTGTACTTGTCATTATCTCTCAAACTGTGAAACTATAGACCGAGGCAAATTCTTTAAGATAGGCTTAAAACAATAATGTACATTATAGCTTAACAAATCAGTTGAAAGAAGGAAAAGTGACAAAGTTGACCTAGTTTACGGTATAACATTCCCCTCGTAACAGATCAAGATATATTGAATCAGTTTATTTCATCTTAAAGGCGTAACAAAATAAGTGCAGTCCAACCTGCAAAACGCTTATCCGGGTGGCCCCTTCATAAAAGTGTCAGCATGCATACGAAGTGTTAATAATAAAATGAATTCGAATTTGTTAGAAGAAACAAGTCTATAATTAATAACCAATAGTAGAAAAATCTGCCTTTATTATTTAAATTTATAAAACTATGAGTTATAAAACGTAAATGAATTGCTCGCCCTAATTGATTTATAAAACAGGGTTACATAAGCTAGCAAAGTGGACAAGAAGATGCTGTTAGTAACAAAGTAATTAATATTTCTTACAATTGCAAAGCCTTCAGCCTAAAAGTAGGCCCTCTTTTACCTGAGCTTGCATTCATTACGCCTCTGTTTTATCTTATAATTATAATTATTCATTTTCCATCATCTTTTCTGCTTCCCACCACTCCATTTAGTGGGGACACTCCAATGTGTGAGCACAACATTTTGAGGAACACAAAGAAACAAGAAAGTATTACTAATAAATAAAAATTGGTACTTTAAATTTAATTTATTTTATTTGCAAATACAAATTGGCTTTTTTCTTTTACTCTTGCTAAATTTGGCCAACCACTCTGATTAATCTACTATTTTAAGGAACATAAAGATCAAATGTGATGGAATAACGTGTAAAATTGAGTATTTTCTACTTAGAGAAGTAATTTTATCTTCTCCACCCAGAACACCCTTTTGGACCTGTCATATTCAGTTCAGCTATTTTTTTTTAACATTAATTGAATTACTTATCATAGATTACATTTGCTTAAACTAGATAAAACTGTTCATAAGGATTCCACTAAAATAATGTGCCCCCCTCCCTTCCAAGAAAGCAACAACAACAACATATAAAGGAAATGATTGTATTACATTAAAAACATAAGAATCTTTTTTCAAAAATGATATTCTTAGAAATACTTCCAATCACTTTACAATGAAATCTGCATATCTTACCTCTGTATTTCATTTATACAAGTTTCCAAACATAAGATAAATAGAACAAGTTTCCAAACATAAGATAACCTAAATTATTTTTCCTCTGGAAATAATATTTAACCTTTTTCTATCAAAGTATTTATTGTAGTTGACATTTTTCCATAAAATGTTGATTTTGTAGCAAGTCTTTAAAAGTTTGTAAACTTTAAAATTTTACTCAAATTAACACTTTATTCCATCATGTTCCAGCATGTATTATTACATATTACAAAATATTGTACTTCATATTCATAAAATGAAAACTGTATTAATAAAAGTTAATCATTGAACTGAGAAAGCTTTAGCTTAATGCGTTGAATTAAGGTACTACGTAAATTGAGCTAGTTTTTAACTAAATTGTTTCACAAGGTCCATACATTCAGAAAAATATAAGAAAGATCTTTACACTTTCCCACAAACTTGTCATTTAAACGATGGATATTAGCAGCATCAATTGAAACAAAGATACCTGGAAAAATTCCTTACTGAGCCTCACAGTCTGGTCTGAGTCATTTTTTATGTTGGAAATATTTTATTAGTTTCTTTATGTGTTTTTCATGCCGATTTCAAATCTGTAATAGATATTTCTGCAGCAGCTCTGTTTTTTCTCTACAAACCAATGATTTTAACGTTTGTGGTCTTTATTAGATGTTAATGCTAAAATATTTCTTTTTTAGGCAAATTGTTATAAGTACTTGAGTATACACGTTAAAGTATGCTTGTATATATGACGCATGTTAAAGATAACTAAATTTCATCAATTAACACAAATAGAAAATCTAAAAATGTTTTGCTACATATGTGGTAAAATTACGTTAACAGGGTCAAGATCAAACATTATGAGTATGGCATTTGTGAAGGCCAGCTATTATGCTTATTTTGATATAAAATTGAGAGATGAGGACAAGACCTTTATTCCACAGCTATGGTGTTAAACGTGTGTAAAGAAGACATTGACAATGGAACAAGGGAATCATACACGCAATTACCCGTTGGTGAACCTCAAGCATGGAGGAAAGCAAAGAATCATTTAACATATTGCTCCTTTTGCTTAATGAGAAAAAAGGTAATTAATGTTGTAAGACTTTATTTTATAATTCAGAGGGGAAGGGGTATCAAGGCCACTGGGATATAAAAATGAAGGCTGAAAAGGTGTCTGGAAAGAGATGAAACCTGGATCCACCCATCCATAAGGTGCTTAAGTAATCATTTCTTCAAAATAAATTCTTATGTAAAAAAAACTTTAAAAAAAAATAAAGGAAAGGTGAAATAGCTTCACTTATTTCAATCATTCACATTTATTACTCAAGAGGGACTCATAAGGAAAGGACGAAAGAGGGTACCCATTTTTTTCACAATATATTTGTATTTCTAATATAATTTTCTATTAACAAAGGTTGTGCTGAAACTATCTTGTGTTTAATTTACTTAATAGTTACCTTCATATAATTTCCTGCTGTTGTCACATCTGTTATCAAGGTTTTGAGTTATTGAGCTTCTATAAACAGAAAATGTTCTAATGGTAATAACATTAAAGAGTTGTAGTTATAGGATTCATAGCACAAAAATTAGATATGATTGAGTAAATCTAATATTACTTTTTAGTTCAGATTGGTCAATTCCTATAAAAAACGTTAAAAAATTTAATTATAAACTTTTTTCAAAAATGCAGGACAGGGTAATTTTTCTCCACCCCAAGAGTAAATTTTCACTTAAGGCACGAGTATTTGTTTTTTAGCTGATAACACTTGCAAATTACACAACTGTTTGTCCAATAGGAAGAAAACAGACAAAATTTTTTCCAATTCCAATTTTTCATTTCAAACATTTGCCTAGGCATATATTTGGATTTTTCCCATTCTTGACACTTTTAAACAATCAATTTCTTCATAATGTTCAAATTTCTTTGTTTTTAATATAATTCTTATTATTCACTTGCAGCCTTTTACTCTTTCGTTTCTTTTACTATTTGTATAACATTACCATCATTGATCAACTTTATTGGTATTTTTAAGGCCTTGACCAATTACATTTTCTAAAATGGTTTATATTTTACACATAAGGTGTTTCTTAAGTTTGCAATTGGAATACCATTTCTTTATTTTATTAGATGAGATTTTAATATTGTATTTCTATAAATTATTAGCTGTTCATTATACATTTGATTTTACCATTCAAGTCTTGCACTGATTTTTACTTTCTCACTTTCCTCCTATTCCACTCAAATTTTGAATTATTTTCCGATTCTTAGTTAAGACCTTAAATTACATAATTTGGTCCCTGTTATTAATAGTCCTAAAGATTTTATTTTGCAGCAAATTGAAGTATCTAATCTTGGCACATTCATTTGCACCTAAGAAGGTATGAACTGTTTGTAAGAGCTGGGAATTAGAATGGAAATAAATGCAACAAATAATACAATTTGTGTTGTTGTTTTTTGATTACGTATCTCTCATGTATGTTTTTCCTCGAGTTAAAGCGTTCTTCAAGTGTTATGTTAAGAACAAATACATTGTAGTCAAATATCTTGTTACAATTTTTTGTAGAATAATGCTGGCTAAATCCAGCTCATGGTTGTGGTATGCTTTTCTTTGTATCAATGATTTT